CCCCCATATACTGCGCAGACCCCCCCACAATAAGGCACTGACCCCCCCAATGAGGCACAGACCCCCCAATACTGGACAGCCCCCCCCCCCCAATAAGGCACAGACCCCCCTGATGGCTGAGAGTGTTGGGAGCAAGGCTTACCTGATGGATGTCTGGATGCAGTGGATCAGACACCGCGCATGCGCACTCAGGGGTAGGAGATTTCTTAGCAGAAGATATGGCCATCAGATTTCTATACCCCCTCAGTGCGCATGCGCGGTGTCCGTGGCTTTCCTGGCTGGGTAGGCGCGTGCGCAGTGTGGGGCAGGGAGATCGGATGAATGTTCGGCTGAATCGATCTCCCTGCCCGCTGGTGCGCACGCGCGCTGTATCCCGCTGTCTGTGCCCGACGGGAGTACTTAGACGCGCGTGCGCACTGGCCCCTACCTCCCCCGCCTCTTGTCTCCAGGCGCAGGCGCAGTGTTGTGTTCGCGCATGCGCATTAGGCGGCCTCCTCTCCTCTCACTGCCTGTAAATTTTACCTACCTGCTCTTCTGCGCATGCGCGGCGCTGCGCTCCTCCTCCTCCAGCTGTTCAATGAAATTACCGGTGCGGCCGCGTCACTTCCGGTGCGGCCGCGTCACTTCCGGTATACCAATCTGACAAGGTATACTTATCTGACGGAACACCGGGGCCACCGGAAACCAGTACCACCGAGTGCACCCGGAAGAGCATGAGGGGAAAGACAGAAAGAGAACAGTGTCACAGTAAATGCCATCTTTGTTACTGAAAAGGAAATGTACATGGTGAAAGCACAACCATGTTTAGATTTTGATGCTTCTCATAGTATGGACTCAGTTTGTCAGTTCATCTTAAAGTCACAGCCTGACTCTTTTAGCCTAAACTGGGGTTTAGAGAACAAACTACAAAGTGTGATTTGTTAGGATTTAGTTACTTTAAATTTTTTTTGAGCAAAATAGCTGAATTGTAAAAGTTATCCAATAATGAACTATAGCAAATTATATTTTAACTTCAGGCTAAAAAGCCATGTTCTGAAACAGTGAATTCAGGCCCACCAAAAGTAAAAATTTTGGTGGGGCAGTCCCTTCATAAGGGAGTGAAAGTGCTGTGTTATGTCTTAGATGGTGGTTCCCAAACCAGTCCTCATGGCCCACAAACACTCCAGGATTTATGTATTTCCCCTTTTCTATTCCAATGGAGATACTGACAAAAACTTGACTGTTGGTGGGTCGTCAGGACTGGTTTGGGAACCACTGTCTTAGACAATTACTGGAAAAGTGGGATATACAGCATGTAGTAAGAAGTAGTCTCACCATTGAAGGAAGAGTGTGTATAATTTAGGAAAGAAGTAGGTGTTTGTAGAGAAAGGAGGTTGTAGAGGAGAGGGGGACCTGTTGCGGATGAAAATACAGTCTATAATTATATTTGAGAATTGGTTTTGTGGATTGATAGCTGGTTTGAGATGGGAATATTTGGGAGCATAGCCTGGTGATAGAGCTGTAAACACGTAGGATAAGAGGAGGGAATAGTTTTCTTTAGGATCATACTATTATAATTGTATTATATTTTACTTTTTTTTTTACTAAAGTCTTAATTTGCTAATTCTTTATCTATGTAAGCTCTTTTGTGCCTGTAACAATTTGTTATTGCAATTTCCTCCCTTTATAATATTGTAAAGCGCTGCAGGATAAATTGCCGCTATATGAATACCAATAATAATAATAATAATAAACTAATTTTATTTGGCTTCTAGCTGACACACCACAATAAAACACAACAGCAGATTAAAATGAAGCATTTATTAAAATGAATACACCTCTAGAGCTATCACAACATGCACTCAATCCATACATATTTATACCTCCATGGCCATGCTATACTGGGTAGGTGAGCTGGCCCATGGGGGAGAAGGGGTAAGACACATTGAGGTGATGGGGTTATGAGATACATGGGGGTCTAAGGGAATGAGACACATGAATGGAGGTGCTGGGGGTGAATGAGACACATGGGGGGAGGGAATGAAACACATGAATGGAGGTGCTGGGGGGGGAGGGAATGAAACACATGAATGGAGGTGCTGGGGGTGAATTAGACACATGGGGGGGCTAAGGGAATCAAACACATGAATGGATGAATTGGACACAGGTGCTGGGGGTGAATTAGACACAATGGGAGGGAATGAAACACATGAATGGAGGTGCTGGGGGTGAATTAGACACATGGGGGGGCTAAGGGAATCAAACACATGAATGGAGGTGCTGGGGGTGAATTAGACACATGGGGGGGCTAAGGGAATGAAACACATGAATGGAGGTGCTGGGGGTGAATTAGACACATGGGGGGGCTAAGGGAATGAAACACATGAATGGAGGTGCTGGGGGTGAATTAGACACATGGTGGGCTAAGGGAATGAAACACATGAATGGAGGTCCTGGGTGTGAATTAGACACATAGTGGGGGGTTAAGGGAATGGATTTGGTTCTGTTGAATACTCCAATAAATGTAACTATTTCTAAATGTTACCATGATGCTGTTACAGACATGGAGTTTGTAGCACTCGTGGTTTATGATGTTTATTGAGTAAAAGAGGAGTTGTGGAGAAGAGCACAATTTAGGCCAATATAACTGACCAGCTATCTCTCTTGCCTGGCTCTTTTAACCTATAATGCATTTCTCGAGTACTCAATTGAGTCTGTGGGCTTGAGGGTCTATGAGTGCTTCTTGGAAGCCATATTCCCAGAATGCATGTGTGTTCGCATTACGTCATTCGCTGCGATCACGTGGTTCGGATGTCGAGGTGGGCTGCCATTGGCTGACGCGCAGGCGTCTGAGAGGCTAGGGGGAGAGCGCTCTATGGTTACCTGCTGCGCACGCGCGTCGCTGGGCGGGGCTCTCGGCATACGTAGGCTGATTGGCTCCCGCGCCTGCGCGAGGCTGTTTTGCTGGTGACCGTATGATGAAGTTGGGGCTGCAGTAAGCGCCCTGAGTCAGTCAGTCCCCGCCTCCCACCGGGCCTCCATCTCACCGCCGGACACCCGCCCACCGAGGGAATAGCTCACACAACACCCCGCCGGCCGAGCAGGTAAACCTCACGGCTTGTCTTTACCCGGGAGATCCTCCCAGTCTGAACATGGCAGCCTAGGCCGCACTCACAACATGGAGCCAGATGGCTGCCCTCCCTCTCACAGAGCCTCCTAGGATCGTGTTATAGGGAGGGCAGAGCACACATGGAGCCCTTTATAAGCAGTCAGGCCGGCCAGGCATCATGTGCATTGTAGTCGGTCATGCAGGGAGGCTGAAGTACTCTGTGTGTGTTTGGGTTTTGTTTTATCCCAGAGCCTGTTGGCTTCATGTCATACAAAGCCCAAGTTTACTTTTAGCAAGTTCATTATCATGGAAATTGTAGCCGTCATGTGTTGTAGCCGGCTATAGAAATACACGTTATAACCCTCGGATGGTCTATAGCCGGCCATAGAAATACACGTTATAACCCTCGGATGGTCTATAGCCGGCCATAGAAATACACGTTCTAACCCTCGGATGGTCTATAGCCGGCTATAGAAATACACGTTCTAACCCTCGGATGGTCTATAGCCGGCTATAGAAATACACGTTATAACCCTCGGATGGTCTATAGCCGGCTATAGAAATACACGTTCTAACCCTCGGATGGTCTGTAGCCGGCTATAGAAATACACGTTATAACCCTCGGATGGTCTGTAGCCGGCTATAGAAATACACGTTCTAACCCTCGGATGGTCTATAGCCGGCTATAGAAATACACGTTCTAACCCTCGGATGGTCTATAGCCGGCTATAGAAATACACGTTCTAACCCTCGGATGGTCTATAGCCGGCTATAGAAATACACGTTCTAACCCTCGGATGGTCTATAGCCGGCTATAGAAATACACGTTCTAACCCTCGGATGGTCTATAGCCGGCTATAGAAATACACGTTCTAACCCTCGGATGGTCTATAGCCGGCCATAGAAATACACGTTCTAACCCTCGGATGGTCTATAGCCGGCCATAGAAATACACGTTATAACCCTCAGATGGACTGTAGCCGGCCATAGAAATACACGTTATAACCCTCAGATGGACTGTAGCCGGCTATAGAAATACACGTTATAACCCTCAGATGGACTGTAGCCGGCTATAGAAATACACGTTATAACCCTCGGATGGGTCTATAGCCGGCTATAGAAATACACGTTATAACCCTCGGATGGGTCTATAGCCGGCTATAGAAATACACGTTATAACCCTCGGATGGGTCTATAGCCGGCCATAGAAATACATGTTATAACACTCAGCTCGACTATAAACGATCATAGAAATACATGTTGTAACCTTCAACTAGACTGTAGAGCTTGTTGTAGTCCCTTTAGCTGGACTATAGACCTGGTTGTAGAAATACACCATACAGGGGTTAGGAAACAGTAAAGGTGTAGAAGATGTATTTCAGATAGGGAGGACTGTATTGATTGTAGAATGAATAACACCCACATGGGGGGAAATATGCAAACAGAAAAAATTGGAATTGTTCATTGTGCAGGTGAAGACTTGAAAACCAAATTGCAAGATTTAAGCACAAATAAACAAGCTGTGGCTGTAGATTTTTCGGAATCACCCGTTTTGAATTTAACTTTTTTGTACTGGTACAAAACCAATATTTCATAGCCAACCTGCTCCCCTTCAAACAAAATGATTACATTAGTGCATATCTGTGGCATATGGCAGTCAGTATATGAGGGTGAAAAAATTGTTTGTGAATGATAATTGTAATTTTGGATTGCAATGGCACCCTTAAAGGACCACTCTAGGCACCCAGACCACTTCAGCTTAATGAAGTGGTCTGGGTGCCAGGTCCTTCTAGGGTTAACCCATTTTTTTATAAACATAGCAGTTTCAGAGAAACTGCTATGTTTATGAATGGGTTAAGCCTTCCCCTAATCCTCTAGTGGCTGTCTCATTGACAGCCACTAGGCGCTTGCGTTTCTCACTGTGATTTTCACAGTGAGAGCACTTAGCGTCCATAGGAAAGCATTGTAAATGCTTTCCTATGCGACGGGCTGAATGTGCGCGCATTCAGCCCAGGAGGAGGAACGGAGGAGGAGAGCTCTCCGCCCAGCGCTGGAAAAAGGTAAGTTTTTAACCCTTTCCCCCTTCCAGAGCCGGACGGGAGGGGGTCCCTGAGGGTGGGGGCACCCTCAGGGCACTGTAGTGCCAGGAAAACGAGTGTGTTTTCCTGGCACTATAGTGGTCCTTTAAAGGGTTGTTTCAAGTACCTCTTCATTAAAGTGGTTATGGTACTTGGAGTTTCTGTATATACACTGCTCAAAAAAATAACACATCCTAGATCTCAATGAATTAAATATTCTTCTGAAATACTTTGTTCTTTACATAGTTGAATGTGCTGACAACAAAATAACACAAAAAATAAAAAATGGAAATCAAATTTTTCAACCCTTGGAGGTCTGGATTTGGAGTCACACTCAAAATTAAAGTGGAAAAACACACTACAAGCTGATCCAACTTTGATGTAATGTCCTTAAAACAAGTCAAATTGAGGCTCAGTAGTGCGTGTGGCCTCCACGTGTCTGTATGACCTCCCTACAATGCCTGTGCTGTCTCCTGAGGGACCTCCTTTCCAGACCAGGACTAAAGCATCTGCCAACTCCTGGACAGTCTGTGGTGCAACTTGAACTTGGTGGATGGAGCGAGACATGATGTGCTCAATTGGATTCAGGTCTGGGGAACGGACGGGCCAGTCCATAGCATCAATGCCTTCGTCTTGCAGGAACTGCTGACACACTCCAGCCACATATGGTCTAGCATTGTCTTGCATTAGGAGGAACCCAGGGCCAACCGCACCAGCATATGGTCACACACGGGGTCTGAGGATCTCATCTCGGTACCTAATGGCAGTCAGGCTACCTCTGATGAGCACATGGAGGGCTGTGGCGTCTCCAGACTGTCATGTCTGTCACATGTGCTCAGTGTGAACCTGCTTTCATCTGTGAAGAGCACAATGGCGAATTTGTTAATCTTGGTGTTCTCTGGCAAATGCCAAACATCCTGCACGGTGTTGGGCTGTAAGCACAAATCCCACCTGTGGATGTCGGGCCCTCATACCACCCTCATGCAGTCTGTTTCTGACCATTTGAGCACATTTGTGGCCTGCTGGAGGTCATTTTGCAGAGCTCTGGCAGTGCTCCTCCTGTTCCTCCTTGCACAGAGGCGGAGGTAACGGTCCTGCTAAGGAGTTGTTGGCCTCCTCCACGTATCCTTATGTACTGGCCTGTCTCCTGGTAGCGCCTCCATGCTCTGGACACGACACTGACACACTGCAAACCTTCTTGCCACAGCTCGCATTGATGTGCCATCCTGGATGAGCTGCACTACCTAAGCCACTTGTGTGTGTTGTAGACTCCGTCTCATGTTACCACTAGAGTGAAAGCACCGCCAGCATTCAAAAGTGACCGAAGCATCAGCCAGAAAGCATAGGAACTGAGAAGTGGTCTGTGGTCATCACCTGCAGAACCACTCATTTATTGGGGGTGTCTTGCTAATTGCCTATAATTTCCACCTGTTGTCTATCCTATTTGCACAACAGCATGTGAAATTGTCACTTAGTGTTGCCACCTGAGTGGACAGTTTGATTTCACAGATGTGTGATTGACTTGGAGTTACATTGTGTTGTTTAAGTGTTCCCTTTATTTTTTTGAGCAGTGTACAACATTTAACTTTTCTACAGATTGCTGTTATGACATAGATTGTTATTAAAGTCTTCAATGACCCATTCATATATATGAACATTATGGAGGATAGGTCACTGACAAGGGTGTACAGATACACTGAAGCTTATTAGATCGAAAATGTGATAAAGGTACACAAATTCTGATTAACACAATGTATTTACATACAGCCAACCTATAGAGGAACAAAAAAGGCTACATAGTATAGCACGGTCTGCTATAACCCAAAATGTGTAATAATCTTGCACTCCCAAACCACTATGTAGATCAAGCGTATGTGTCTCAGCTTTTCTTAACCAGATTTAGAGAGAGCATAAATCCCAATATGACCCTAAAAATAAAGTGCAGAAAAATAGTAGTGTTCTCTGTATCATATAAAAAAAATATTTTATTGCAACTAACTTGCATAAATAATTTACTGCAAATCAGATAACTTCACACCCTACGCTCTTTGTCCTTCAGACTTCAATATACAATTGCAGATCATTAAAGATTGTAAAAAAACAAATCTGGTATATCGGAGAAAGGCAATACAAGCATTCTTCTCTAACCACATTGAAACACCCCTCCCTCTCGTTTCATTTGCCCAATGTCCCAATTCTTGATGCTCTCAGTCAATTAAAGGCTTCTATAGGGTCAGGAACACAAACATGTATTCATGACCCTATAGTGTTAAAACCACCATCTTGGCCCCTCACGCCTCCATAAATATAGCACAATCTTACTGTATTCAAGCATGAAGCTGTAACTCTGAATGCGGTTTGCCTCAGAAAACCAAGCAGTCTGCTGACATCATCAGAAGTGGTAGCCTGATCCAATCACAATGCTTCCCCATAGGAATAGCTGAGACTGACAAAGAGGCAGATCAGGGGCAGAGCCAGCATGATTCAAACACAGCCCTGGCCAATCAGCATTTCCTCATAGAGATGGATTGAATCAATGAATCTCTATGAGGAAAGTTCAGTGTCTGCATGCAGAGAGAGGAGACACTGAATGTTTGGATGCATTTTAGACTGCCATGACCCAGGAAGGCTCTCTAACAGCCATCTAAGGAGTGGCCAGTGAAGTTATGACTAGACTGTAATGTAAACCCTGCATTTTTCTCTGAAAACAGTGTTTACAGCAAAAAGCCTGAAGGTAATGATTCTACTCACCAGAAGAAATTCAATAAGCTGTAGTTGTTCTGGTGACTATAGTGTCCCTTTAATGTTTAGCATCCTCATTCAGAGCAGACCAGGAGCCTGGTGAGATGCAGGTAAGACAAACCATTGCTAAAGACAGCAAGACCAGGGTTCTCCTGGCATCATCACCACTACAGCAGGCTGTAGAGGTTATAATGCTCATCAAGTACTGATTGCATTCCTTATGAAGCATAATGGAAAAACAATCTTAAAAACCGTGAGTACAAACAATTATCAATGCCCAAGTGAGAAAACTTAGCTGCTTAGTTCCAGGAGTTGCTTTGATGGTATATATTGTCCCAGGTATTTTGAATAAAATATTTTATGTGATTAAACTGGCAACTCTGCCATACATATAAACTTTACTTTGAGTTATTCTTCTGGTGTTTGTGCTTTGTAGATTAACAGGTTTTGTTGTTGGGTGTGTTGTGTGTTTTTTTTGTTCAAGTGTAGAAATGAGGAACCAAATAATAAGAGTTGTGCGCTACAGTTTTCTCATACTAATAAAAGATTAGGATTTTACGAAATCACTAGGTCACATTTTGTGTGAGAACAGAAAGCTCCTGCTTTGGTTATTTATCCTGAAGCTTAAACCTGCTGTGCATGGGTTTTTCATTTCTAAGTTTGAGACTGGCTTAGCTCAATGTAGAGATGCTTCAGACTCTCGAAGAAAGCGACCAGCGTACTACGGCTATCCCAGGTAGGGATTATTACCCTATACGCTGTAGTAGACTGTGCTAGGTGCTACAAAGTAGAAATATATTATGGCTAAAATTGAAGCACAATTTGCAGAATATTATAGTAGGCAAGAAAGGGTACACAGACTCTCCTAGCGTAGAAATTCACTTTAAACCATACAATAGGAAGTGAAATGCGTCAGTCAGAAAACTCTTATATTCTACAGATTAAAAAAACAAAACATTGTGTTCTCCGTAAAAACAGTCTCTATCATAGAAAACATTGAGAACGCTCACATGACCAAATTAGAAATCGCCAGTAAGGGATCCTGTTGAAACTTCTGTGTCTTTCAGAAACCTGTATCCAGGAATGGCTTTCATTCCAGCATTTAGGCTTTCTAATGTGCATAAGTCACCGTAAATGAAACGGCGCCTAGTGCTTTTTCATGACTTACGGATCATTTCATCAGGCGTGTGACTTGGGCATTGATAGTTGAAGCAAAAGCACATAAAGCATTTAACTCAAGATACAATTTCTGCCTTTTTAGATGTGACCAGTTCATCTGAAGTACAACTGCACATTTACAGTGTTGTTCAAAGTAAATTTTAAGATTCAAGGCCAGTGTAGTGTAAACTGGAAGCATAGCTCACTTAGAATTTTTTTTTTTGTTTTTACATTTTGTCTGTTTTGTTCTTAAAGGGACACTATAGTCACCTGAACAACTTTAGCTTAATGAAGCAGTTTTGGTGGATATAACATGCCCCTGCAGCCTCACTGCTCAATCCTCTGCCATTTAGAAGTGAAACCCCTTTGTTTATGAACCCTAGTCACATCTCCCTGCATGTGACTTGTACAGCCTTCCATAAACACTTCCTGTAAAGAGAGCCCTATTTAGGCTTTCTTTATTGCAAGTTCTGTTTAATTAAGATTTTCCTATCCCCTGCTATGTTAATAGCTTGCTAGACCCTGCAAGAACCTCCTGTATGTGATTAAAGTTCAATTTAGAGATTGAGATACAATTATTTAAGGTAAATTACATCTGTTTGAAAGTGAAACCAGTTTTTTTTTTTCATGCAGGCTCTGTCAATCATAGCCAGGGGAGGTGTGGCTAGGGCTGCATAAACAAGAACAAAGTGATTTAACTCCTAAATGACAGTGAATTGATCAGTGAAATTGCAGGGGAATGATCTATACACTAAAACTGCGTTATTTAGCTAAAGTAATTTAGGTGACTATAGTGTTCCTTTAAATTTGAAATTCATTTTGACTTGTCACTTTAGTGAATAAACATGTTAGTCTGATCAATTACTTGGCATATGCTGACATTAGAGGCTTTGAGTTCTTACAAGTGTTAACTTTTATAGAATATTTCTCAAAA